GTTTGATTCCTTTATGTTGGGTCATGATTATTCGAGGAGCATGTATGATAGTTGTGTTTACTTGCGGAAGTTAAATGATGGTTCATTTGTGTACCTATTATTATATGTTGATGACATGCTCATTGCTGCTAATGATTTAACAGAAATTCACAATTTGAAAAGTCAACTGAAAAGTGAATTCGAGATGAAAGATTTGGGAGCAGCTAAGAAAATCCTTGGCATGGAGATCAATAGAGATCGAAAAGCCAACAGGCTATTTCTGACCTAGAAGAAGTACTTGGAGAAAGTCTTGGAGAGGTTTGGCATGAAAGATGCTAAACCAGTTAGTACCCCTCTTGCTGCTCATTTTAAGTTATCAGCTGCTCAGTCCCCGCAGTCAGAGGAAGAAAAGAGGTACATGGCACAGGTTCCTTATTCCAGTGCAGTCGGCAGTATTATGTATGCAATGGTTTGTACATGTCCAGACATTTCACAAGCACTGGCGTGGTAAATCGGTATATGGCTTGCCCTGGTAAAGCACATTGGCATGCTGTGAAATGGATTCTCAGATACTTGCGAGGTACTTCAAATACATGTTTGGAGTTTGGGAGAAATGCTAACACTTTGGTTGGTTTTGTAGACTCAGATTATGCAGGTGATCCTGACAAAAGAAGATTACTAACAGGCTATGTATTTTGCATCGGTGGTTGCGCTATTAGTTGGAAAGCTATATTACAACATGTAGTAGCTTTATCTACTACCGAAGCAAAATATATGGCAGTGACCGAGGCGATCAAAGAAGCTTTATGGTTGAATGGTCTATTTGCGGAACTCAGTTTACACCAAAGTTGTATTACCATTTTCTGTGATAGTCAAAGTGTCATTCACTTGACTAAAGATCAAATGTATCATGAGAGGACGAAGCACGTTGATATAAAGTATCATTTCATCCGAGAAACCATTGCTGAAAGAAAAGTCTATGTTCAGAAGATCAATACTAGAGACAATCATGCTGACATATTCACAAAACCTCTTCCAGTGTCCAAGTTCAAGCTTTGCCTGAACTTGATTGGCATTTATGAAGAATGATTTTTCCCATTGGGTTTTTTGCGGAGAAGGTGGAGCAAATTTACTATATATAAACCGAAATTAGGCCAATGTGGAGATTTGTAATATGGCCAAATTTTTATGACATTTGCCATGACATAATATCCATTATAACAAATTTGTGGATCATGACATATGCCATGACATAATATTCATTATTAGGCCAAGGATTTCTTACTATAAATAGAGGAGTTTCTCCTCACTTAAAAACACATCAATTCAAGAGCTTTTCACTCGTCTTTCTTTCTCCTCCTTTATTTCATTATAGAGTATTTTGTAAGAGAGTGAGTTTTTGGGAAACACTTGTGTGAACCCTTTCTTTGGAGTGACCTTGTGAGGTTATTCTCTTGGGGTATTTGGGATTAATTAGAGTATTTACTCTAATTTTGTACTCTCTTTTGTACTCTTGTTGGTATAGTGAAATTGTTCCTCTCCGATTGTGGACGTAGGTCACCTTGACCGAATCACGTTAAATTTGTGTCTTCTTTATATTCTTTAATTGTCGTTATTATCAACTTCCATTGTCTTTATTATTGTCATTATACCGTTGTTTGGCTAAATTCCGCACTACCCGGGTTCCCGATCCTAACAAGTAGGATAAATCATTCTTCTTAATCAAGAGAAGAAGATCACGTTGTTCATGGTTGGGTTTAACTGGAAAAGAGTACAAATACTTTTTGATTCATTAGAGAGACTCCTAGCAAACTGGTTTTCAGTCGTCAAACATGATCAAGTGGTGCAATCAAGTGAAAATATTTAAGCAGAAGATATTGTTAGAACAAATAAATATTAATAGAGTGAAGCCTTAAAACTACTACATCATATCTATGTTGATTAATCCACAGTAGTGAAAGAATTACTCGGAGTAATTCAAGTTTCATAAAATATGTAATACGTATAACTTTAGTGTCAATCTGAGCTATATAACAAAATAATGGCCTAGTTTAACTTGGACAACAGACCAGTTTTGACAGTTAAGAGCAGCGGATGGCTTAATTGATGCAGAGAAATGACTAGCCCTTTTCACTGACTGATTAAAGAGAACTAATGCTGGCAAATTACACACAAAAGAGAAGTATGATTCTTCACTTACATTCTGATGACAGATCACAGTTGAGGTCATTGCCTATTCAATAAAGAATTTCAGCATAATTTTCCTTTCACTAACTGAGTAAGGAGTTGTAATAGCTTACAAGAAGTTACCAAAATCCTGACAAAGAAAAAAAAATATCTAAGTTGAGATCAGATGATCATACATAATAACCTTAACATGGTCTTTTATCTTTTATAGATAGGAAACAAATTTTCTGTCTCATGTACCTTTGAGTAGGAAAAAATGGATTTTACACGTCCAGTAGACAGATATGTGGAGTAAATTATTTCAATTTGAACCTATACCTGGTTTCGCTTACAATGTTTTAGCGCAGATATAAAGATTTATGTAGCTGCAACATATCACCGTTCATCCCAAAGTGAAGATGCTTCCTCTGTTTCATAGTGGCAATAGACTCTTCACACTGCTCAACAAGATTTTGAACAAAGGAAAATAATTAGCAGAAAAGCAAAGAGAAGTAACGAAAAATACAAAAGCTACTTGAAAAGAAAAAAAAAAGAAAAAGACTAACTTACATCTGTTAGAGCACCTTCGCTTGAATCATTACAGATATTCCCGATCGATCATTATGGTGGGAATATGAGCAATATTTGGCCAGTATTTCCACTTCTCAAATTCTAGGAGTGGTTTGAGCAATGGGCAGTGACAAATATTTAGTACAGAGATTGAAGAGGGCATCCCCTTTACTGGAAGAGATTGGAGTTTAGAGCAATCCAAGATACTCAGCTTAGATAGGGAGGAGGGCAGCGCTGATTCTGGAGGAGGTTGGAGATTACCGCAACGACAGATAGGCAGCAAAGAGAGGAAGGAAGGCTTTCTTTTTACTTGAAGAGATTGGAGATTAGGGCAACTCAAGATGGTCAGCTCAGAGAGGGAGGAGGGCAGCGCTGATTCTGGAATATATTGGAGTTGATAGCAAAAGCTGATCTCTAGACGTTGAAGCGAGGTGAGGCGTTGAAGACCTTCAGTCGGTAGTGAATGGAGCTCATCATGGTCAAATAATATAAGCTGAGAAAGAGACGAGGGAAGCCCTTCTTCCAGCAGTGACTGAATTTGAGGTAAATTATAAGTACGTAGATATTCAAGAGAGGTGAGGCTTTTGAGAAATTGGCTGCTTAATGTTTTCATATTGTGTATCCAAAGTAGTCGAATAGAGCAAGGCAACTCCCAATTTTCACCAGCAAGAATCTCTTCGTCACTACCATCATGGATGATGGTTAACTCTTTTCGTCACTACCATCATGGCTGCTTGTGGCAACTTTCTACCCTCAAATAGCGTGCTTGTGGGACCAACTCATTTATAGAATCACATTCTTCCAGATCCAATTTCTCCAGAAACATGTTACTTCCTATAGAAATCATATCGCCAACTGAAGACTCCAATTTCAATTTCCCACAACGCTTTATCTCTATTTTCTTCAATGTATTTGACAGACTGTTAAAATGCAAGGAGGTAAGAGACTGACAGTCAGTAATATATAATTCAACAATATGCTTCATTCCCTGAAATTGAGACAAAAACAGTTCAGCATGATCAAAAAGAACTCCAACCTTAGGAGAACCTTCAACTTTAAACTCTTTTAGACTTGAAAGTTGGTTAGGTGTCTCCAGATTGAGTTCCGGACAATTTGAAATTGTCAAACTTGTCAGAGAACAAATATTTTCGGGAAACTTTCCAATCAACTTGGGGCAAGTAACAATTGAAAGATCTTGAAGTGTAGGAAACTCTCCATTCCCTAGTACGTGCCACTGTTTCCACTCCAGCATCTCTGCAAACTCAAGTCGTTCAAGAGAGTTGAAAGGCTTTTTGGAGGATGAACTACCGTAGAATTCGTCAGTCACCTCTATTATTCGACGCATCCCTCGAATTGCAAGGAATTTCAGAGATGGAAGCTGGCCTAATGCTGGCAAGGAATAACAGTCCTTGCTTAGAGACAATTCCACCAGCTCAGAAAATGAATAATCAGCTAGCCAAATTGGAAAGTTTGTCCCTCTATATCCGTTGATCTCAAGTTCTTTTATGTTTGGATTTGGATGTAGCTCACCAAGTATGTCTCTATCATTTTGTAAGCTGTCCACAATATTTACGCTCCACTCCAATGATAACTTTTCAATATGTTCCTTTCCTCTCATGTTTGCCTTCAAAGCTTGGCTTCCGTCGGCCACATTTTCCAACTCTAGAATAGATAGAGATCCATACAAGTTATGTAGTTAACTCAGATGTTGCGGCTTCTTCAAGCAAGGAGTGTCGCCAATGTCAAGGTGACGCAAGTTGATCAATTTTGTCATTTGCATCGGTAACTCCACAAGATTTTGACAACATGACAAGAGAAGTGTCTCTAAGTTATAGAGTGCACAAATTGAATCTGGTAACTGCTTTATCTCTGTCAAAGAAAGGTCCAAAAATCTTAGAAGTTTTAACTTGATGAATAAGTCATTCGGCAACTCTTTGATAGCATAATGTGACAATGATAATGCCCTTAAGGATGTTAGTCTTGGCAATATGTTATGCATCACCCTCTTGCTTAGAGAAGGATCATATAGCTTGATTCTGTAGATCGGAAGCAATGTCCTCAGCTGCTCCAATTTGTAGAGAGGTTTCAACTTTTCAAAGTCACCATAGCCCATTGAATAGGACACGTGTCGACTTCGTTCCAACATATGAGACTCTTGGTTCTCTTCCAATCTGATACAAAGTTTTGAAGATGCAATCTGGGCCAAATCATTCACAAGGTCATGCATTAAGAATTCCTCTGCATTATTTTTAGAAGAATTTGGGACCTTTTCGAAAAGTGATCTTGATTGCAACTCGAGAAAGAATAGGTTGCCTAAATCTTCAATTATTTCATCTTTTTGTAACCCCTGTACTAGACCATTAGCAATCCACAACTGAATGACTTGCTTTTTCCGAAATGGATAATCTTTCGGAAATATTGCACAGTAAGAAAAACATTGCTTTAAATATGCAGGAAGATCATTGTAGCTCAACATCAATGCTGGTAATATGCCATTGTCGGGCAGCTCCCATACTTCACTTCTCAAAATACGTTTCCACCCTTCAATCTCTAATTTGGAACGTAAAATGCCAGCAAGTGTCTTTAAAGCTAAGGGCAATCCTTTGCACTTAGCTGCTATTTGTTTTCCGACTTCTACATGTTCTAGATGTTCCTTAGGATCCATGTTGTCAAATGCATGTCTTTTGAATAATGACCAAGAGACATCACTAGACAAAGTATCCATGCTAATTTGCTCATTAACCATCGTCTTGGCAACACTTTCCTTACGTGTCGTCACAATGATCGTACTTCCTGCATCTCCTTGAACAAAAAGATTTTTCAAGTCATCCCATGCATTATAGTTGTCATTCCAAACATCATCCAGAACAATAAGAAATGTTTTGCCCTTTAAGCTTTCCTTCAATTTGACCTGTAGCTGATTAAGATTGTTATCGTCCTTTAAGTCAAATGAGCCAATTTCTTGAAGTAAACCTTTTGTTATTCTGAAAGCATCATATAGTTCAGACACACAAAACCAAGCTTTCAAATCGAAATAGTCTTTTACCTTCTCATCATTGTATACAACTTTAGCAAGTGTTGTCTTGCCAACCCCAGGCATTCCAACAATAGGAATTACTCTCAAACTTTTACCATTTGTATCAACAGATAATAAACGGCCCACCAATTCCTCTATTTCATTTTGCCTGCCAAAGATTTCAGATTCATCAACTACAGAAGTATCTTGTCTAGTACTAGTTCCTCGTTTACCCGAATCAAGATACCCCGTTAGGCCAAGGCGGCCGATTTGCTTTTCCAACTCCTCCAATGTTTCAATGGTCTCTTTCAACTAAGAAAATATTCATCACTCAAGCACAAGTTGAGGTAACTTACTTGCTGATTGCTTGTTTCTGCATGATTTTGATGCTGACCTTCCACCTTAACTCTCAAAACTTCATAATTGATTTCTTCAATTAAGTTTTCAGCACTGTCCACGGCATCTTGAAGCTCATTTAGCCACTGGTTGACGTATAGATTTGATGTCTTCTTATTCTCTGCATCACTTAGCACAGCTTGAAGACCAAGTAAAGTCATCTTCAACCTCTTTAGCAGTCGAACATCATGCTTTCCCCTCTGAAACATCTTCAGCAGCTCGGCCCGAGGAGCAAGCCTATCAAAGAGAACATTTAAAGCTGAAGAGAGAAATGCACCTCCAACTGCTAAGCCAATCTCCATTTCTGAAAGCTGCAAAGTAAAACAAGAAAATCAAAAAATGATTAAGAACTTGGAGAGGATTAATATTTCAATCTTAAAAATAGTCTTAGTTTTACCTGTTCAATGCAAACAAGAATGCTCTACTAGCTGCGTCCGTGCTTTAGCAAAAGTTACTTGTGCTTTAACAAGAATTTCTCTCTTGCTTTTGCTGAAAAATAAAAGCAAAACTGTCCCTTTTTTTCTCTTTTCAAAAAGTAAAGACTTTTTACCCAACCAAAAAAAAACAAAGACTGCATAACGGGGTCATGTTTCTTGACTATTCATTGAATAATGGGAGTGTAGAAAGGGACTGAAAAATAAAAGAGCCTAAAATGATAAGTTTCTGCACGGTATTTGTTAGGTGTGCCTCTCGGGAGAAATTCAAAAATATCCAGATTTGCAAGTGGTAATTGAAAAATAGCAACGGTTTCAAAAGTAATCAAAATTTAGCCATTTTTCATGTAAGATAAATCTGGACGAAAACACTGTTCAAAATCCGAAAAATATTCCAGCATAATATACTCAAGTTCCAATATACTGGAACTCCAGCATAATATACTGGAGTTCTAGTATAATATACCGGTCCAGCATAATATGTTGGAAGTTCATACACAGATGCTCCAATCTCCAGTATATTAGGCTGCAATTTTCCGCATGTTGGAGTTCCAGCATAATATGCTGGAAGTTCATACACATATGCAACAATATCCAGTATATTATATTGGACCGGTCCGTGTTATAACAAAATAATGGCTATTTTTTAATGACTTTACAAACGCTGGCTATTTTTGAATTACCAGTCCGAAATTTGGCTAGCTCGTGCTATTTTTACTTATTATAGTGATAATTGGGCCTACCATATCATGGATATTGTGGGGGAAGTGCACAATTAGCCATTAATTAGAGATGTCTTTACTCTTTAGCCACTGTTTAAAATATGTTTACTCTTTAGCCAGTGCTTAATAAATTTTTACTCACCTGAACGAAAATACCCTTGTGCTACACGTGGGTGTTGTGTAAATATTAAGGACAAAGTGTCTTGTATTTGCATCTTCCGTTGTTAAACTTTAGGATATCGAACCAACTAACCAGGTATATCATAATATAGGTGAAGAACACAAAAAGAAGCAGAAATGGGAGTAACGGGGCAATAACTCTTGAAATGACCGGTCGGGTCGTTACATGGGGTTTAAGTGATTTCTTCACATTGTGAGTTAAATACATAGTTTTACATGGATTCAAGCATGAAAATTGATAGAAATTGTGAGATTTTGAAAGAAACCTAGAAATTGGTATTTTTGAACTTTGATCACGAAATTGGACATGGAATTGAGAATAAATTATATATTTTAGTTCGTAATGTTATGGGTAATGGTTATCTTCGATTGTTTTTGGAATCCGGGCACGTGGGCCTGAGGGTTGCTTTATTGACTTTTCGAGCGGAGTTGGAAAATTATTTAAATCGATTTGTTATGAGTATATTTTTATTGGTTTGCACATTGTTTGACTAGTTTTGGAGTGACGGGCACCGGTTTGAGGTGTTTGAGCAGCGTTGGAGCCGGTTATGGAACTTCGGAGAGAAGTAAGTCTCCTGTCTAACTCTGTGCGGGGGAAACTACCCTTAGGTGATATATTTAATATGTGTAACTTGTTGTGGGGAGGGGGCTACGTACGCACGAGGTGAAGAGAGTCTGTACGTAGTTAGATTCATGTTATTGTTCGGGTAGACTTAGGTTCACACTATGCCATACTTGTACCATAGGGATTATCTTTGATCGTTAAATTATTTTATTTCGCATTACGACTTGAGACTAGACATGTGTAGAGTGATAGAATTGCTATTGTAGAGATTTCACGAGATTTCATGATTTGTCACGAAATAATGGTGTTCCTATTATGGATCTCTCACGCGCTATGCGTTTTCATCGAACAATTTTCCTTATTCTAATTCTAATGGGATCAATAATTTTCCTTATTCTAATTATAACTCACAGTTTATTCGTGAGTGGGGGGATCAAGGACCCATTTAAGCTTCTTATTCTAATGGGATCGGGCCGTTCGTCTCGGCAAGATTTATGTACCACACTCTCATGGAAGCTGGCCATTCTCCTTGGCAGTTTAATAGATGCATCTATAGTTCATGTCGTTCGATCCTCGGCAGTGCACAAATTATGATGGGATCAGGCCGTATGCCTTAACATTTCTATAGAATATCCTCATGTAATAGTGCGCAATATTTGGCAAGAAGCCAGNATATATATATATATATACTGTCACGACCTAAAACTAACCATGTCCTGATGGCGCCTATCGTGGTACTAGCCAAGCCGACACATTACCAAAGCAAATCGATATTTTCATTTCAAAGATTACTTCAAAGCTATTTAATATAAAACCTTCATAAAGGAGTTCAAATTAAAACAAAAGTGCGGAAAAGAAAAAGCCCGGCATCGGGGTGTCACTAGCTATGAGTATCTACTATAATTTGTCTGACAATATCGAGACTAACATAGTATGGAAAATAACTAAATACAACTAAAGAAAGATAAGAGGGAGAAGAGTAGTGCTGCGATCGCCAGGCTACCTTGCTATCTCCGAGAAATCTGCAACCGGAATAGTCAACAGCCGCTACCGTGTCCAGATACGTCTGAATATGCACACAAAGTGCACGGAGTAACGTGAGTATGCCAACTCAGTAAGTAACAACGGTAAATAAACACTGAGAAGTAGTGACGAGCAATAATGCAAGTAAAGTCCATATCACAAAAACTCAGTAAAATACGACATGCTTTTAAAATCAGAGTTTGAATCAAATCAGCTCGTTTAAATCCAGTTCCAGTAAAATCATTTAAAGACATCTTTCAATAGTTTCAAACAAAGGGTCAATGCAAAGGTGAGCAAAAATGATGAAATTATAATCAGTCCCTCGGGCAAAACATCACTCATATACAGCCCCTCAGGCAAATCTCACAATCACTCGTATACAGTCCCTCAGGAAAATTTCACTATCACTCATGCCTCCCAGTCACTCAGCAGTCGCTACTCGCACTCAGTAGGTACCTGCGCTCATTGGGGGTGTGTACAAACTCCGGAGAGGCTCCTTGAGCCCAAGCGCTACATCAAGCCAATCATGGCATAAATCAATAAGACCCTCGGCCTATATCAAACATGATGCGGCTTGCAGCCCGATCCCATAAATATCCTCACAAATCAGGCCCTCGCCCTCACTCAGTCATAAACCTCCCAAGCCTCTCGGGCTCTCAGTAAAACAAAGTATTCAGCCCAAACAACATTTATATGATGCATCATTTATATGATCATATAAACAACATTTATATGATCCAATCGAAAATAATGAGAGGATATCAAGAAAAGACCTATAAGGGTCCAAACAACACTGGCATAAGGCCGAAACATGGCATCCAACCTGATTTACAGAAATTCATTCTAAAACACATACGAATCATATAGTTTCAACAAAATATTCAACTTTACAGTTAATAAGGGACGGACCAAGTCATAATCCCCAACGGTGCACACCCACACGCCCGTCACCTAGCATGTGCGCCACCGCCAAACAGTAAAATAATACAAAAATTCGGGGTTTCATACCCCAGGACCAGATTTACAATCGTTATTTACCTCGAACCGATCAAATCTCTACTCCGTGATGCTCTTGCCCCTCGATTCGGCCTTCAAATGCTCCAAATCTATTCACAACCAATACAATACCATCAATATACGCTAATGGAATGAATTCCACAAGAAATACTATCAAATTAGACCCCAAACCCGAAATTGGCTCAAACCCGGCCCCCGGGCCCACGTCTCGAAATCCAACAAAAATTACAAAACTAGAAAACCCATTCACTCACGAGTCTATACATTTAAAATTTATCAAAATCCGACACTGTTTGACCCCTCACATCCTCCCATCAAACTCTCCAAAATCCCAAGCCCTAACCCCTCATTTCACCCCTAATTTCCACTAATTACTCAATAAAACAATGGGAAAACACCACAGATAGAAGTACTAGAGCTCAAGAAACTTACCTCACTGAAAACCCCTTGAATCTCCCTTCAAAAGCACTCCAAAAGCTCCAAACACCGATTGCAAATGGTGGAAAATGGACCAAAATTCGCGAAGTGTGCTATTTACACTTTCTGCCCAGGCTTTTCGCACCTGCGGCCTCATTTCCGTGCCCGCGGGACCGCACCTACGGTCAAATCCTCGCACCTGTGAGAACCACTTAAGTCCTCAACTTCTGCACCTGCGCCCCAGGTCTCGCACCTGCGTAATAATTCCGCTTCTGCGGAACCGACTCAACACTTCCTTTCCTCATCTGCGCTCAAGGCCTCGCACCTGCGGGCTCGTAGATGCGACCAATCCTTCGCACCTGCGGCTCCAGCCATGGCCTTTCATTTTCGCATCTGCGACTCCCTCCAATGCACCTGCGATCTCACACTTGCGGCTCCCCTTCCGCAGGTGCGGAAAACACAAGAAGCTTCAGAAACCAGCAAAAATAGCTATCTCTCAACACCAAAAATCAATCCGTTAACCACCCGAAACACACCCGAGGCCCTCGAGACCTCAACCAACCATACCAACAAGTCATATATCAACATACAAACTTAGTTGAACTTTCGGAACACTCAAAACAACATCAAAACACCAAATTAACCTCGGATTCAAGCCTAAGAACTTTCAAATTTCGCAAACGACGCCGAAACCTACCAAACCACGTCCGAATGACCTCAGATTTTGCATACACGTCAAAAATGACACTACGAACCTACTCCAACTTCCATAATTCCATTCCGACCCCGATATCAAATTTTTCACTGCCGACTAAAATCGCCAAATTTCCAACTTTCGCCAATTCAAGCCTAATTCTACCACGGCCCTCCAAATTACATTCTGGACGCGCTCCTAAGTCTGAAATCACCTAACGGAGCTAAGCAAACCATAAAAATCCAAATTCGAGATAGTTTACATATAAATCAACATCCGGTTGACTTTTCCAACTTAAGCTTCCTAATAAGAGACTAAGTGTCTCATTCCACTTCGAAACTACTCCGGACCCGAACCAACCAACCCGATACAATACAATACAGCTGAATAACACATAAAAATAGAAATGGGAAAAATG